TTTCAAATTTCCAAAATTTTGAAAATTTTCCGAGATATTAAGGAAAAACTATAGCCCCATTTTTTTCACTTAATTGTTTATAACTTTTGTAATTTTGATCGGCGCATTTTCGGACCTTGCCTTAAACTTTCTAGGCTAAAATATGAATCCAATGACACCTTGGTGGTAATTTTTGGACAGGGCTGAAAAATGTTACAAAAAAAGTACATGTGAACTAGACTATCAGCTTCGAGAGATTCTTCCAAGTAGAAAGTTAACTGCTCACAACCCCTGTTCAATAGGAAGAAGCAAATTGTCTCTGGTTTGCATTCTTGGTCACTCTGGCTTGAAAGGTGATGAAGCTGCAGTTGGTTCATTCGAACATCTTTCCAGAAGATAATAAAATAGCAGAGCACAAACTTTGTGACTGCGCGCCGTGAACCAAATCCGGTTTACTGTTTGGCCAATTTTCATCACTCTTGCCACCTGACTTGGCGGATACTTCAGAAAAAGGGCTAATTGGCTTCTTTCGAAAAACTAGACCGATTCGGTCGAGTTCTAATAGGTATGAACCACAATAAATTCTCACAGGTTGCAATAGAATGTCGAATAGAACCACTCAGTTTGGATCAATCAAGTCTTGAAAGACTTGATCAACATGTCCTAGTATTTATTTCCTTCGGAAAATGTGATGAAGAGATATTGCATACTATCGACCGATCGAAATTTGGGAATGTTTTTTAGGCAATATTGTTATCGGTATGTCGACAGCTAGCAACCATAGTTCAATACCAAATTTCTCCATAGTCACTACTCTCAAATACTACGAGTCAGAGCAATGACTATATCTGATCAGTAAGACGAGTAAGTTTTGCTTCTAGAGTGAGATTGCATTGTAGAGTGACATTAACCCATCAAGGCCCAGAACTATTTTTTTACAAAATGGGTTATTCTGATTACTTTTTCTTTTCAAGTAACGTCAGAAATGACCCAGAAAAATACTTTAAAAATACTCGGGACTTAGGAGTGCAATAAATGTTCACTTGAGATATAAGGTGGTTCATTAACTTTATATTATTTGAAATTAACTATGATACGTTTGAAAGCATTTATCATGTAGCGGAACTTCACAAGCATCACAAGACTTGTTGGTCTTATTTTTGCATACCACACATCGGAGTCTTCTTTGTCCAGTTAAGATTATGTGTCGTCCGCTTGCAATTTTTGGGTACTGAATGCTTGCCCTCTTCGGTCCTGGACATGTGCTTCGTTTTCCGTATTTCAGTAAGAGTGCTTGTGTAACTGTACGACGGAAAGTAAGATTGTCTTCACTGTATCCATACTCACGCGCTAAAAGCCATGCATTTGTGACACATACATCGAACATCCAAAAAATTAGCGGAATGTACCACTTTTTGCCTCTAAATGCAATTCGGTAATTTGAGACGTGATTATCCAGCTGATCCACTCCCCCCATGAAAGTATTATACCTATTTACAACGTAAGGCTGTGATATGTTGACTTTAGATCTTTCTTTTGCCGAATATCTTTTACATTTGGCCACTGGTTCTAACCCATACTCATTAGACATAAGTGTGACAATATTGTTATCCTTCCAGCGAACACCAACCACATTATTATGGTTATCAAGTGCAGAACACATGGAGCCTCTATCAAGCTTCTTCATTGTGGCAGTTTCTATCAGTTTGCATTTGCCAGTTCTGTTTTCTCTAGTGGTACCTGTTGCTCCTATACCTTTTTGACCCAACAATGTGATAAGTTTTNCTAAAAAAGGTACTTACCAGTTCCGATATGAAGTCATTGCACGCACAAGAAAAAAATACTATTTTCTCTGAAGCCAGAAAATCACAAAAACCCTGAAACAAGCGCCCCGCATGCAAAAGGTAAACAATGCTAATATGGAAATAAGTTTTGATCTTTTGTTTATGCAAAAGAAGATAGGTTTGACAATAAAAATCTGAAGTGGGTCGTTAACGACCCCAGGGTCCTTAATGGGTTAAAATAGTTTGTACTTCTGCCAAATACGGGAAAGTTGCAGCTTCACGTCTCTCAATTCAAACTAAAAGTCCCCTCGATCTTTTCCTTGGTATGTTGAAAAATTTTTGAAAAAAGAATGAGTTCCGGGGAGAAAAATACTTGGCAATAATGATTATGATCACCAAGTGATCATATTCAAGAAGGAGATCAAACTTCCTCTTGAAGATGATCACCAAACCGTTATTTTAAAACCTCGACACGTGTTTCGATCGCTAAGTGATCATCTTCAAGAGGGAGATCAAACTTCCTCTTAAAGATGATAACTTGGTGATCGAAACTCGTGTCGAGATTTTGAAATAACGGTTTGGTGTTGAGAAAACAACAACTCTAGTAATATTCAATAATGATTTCGATCATGAATCCCATACATAAAGTGTACTCCAAAAGTACTATATATTTTTACACTGAAGAAACGGTACTTGTGATGCACTGTTTGGAACTTTTGGTGAAATAATGAATATTGCTGTAGTTGTATCCCAACAGCAAACGGTTATTTTGAAACCTTGACACGTGTTTCGATCACTAAGTGATCATCTTCAAGAGGAAGATCAAACTGTCAAATTCAATCTTCCTCTTGAAGATGATCACTTGGTGATCGAAACATGTCACGAGGTGTTGAAATAACGGTTTTGTGTTGGGATAAAACTCCAGTAATATTCTGAAGAAACTGTTCAAATTTATTATTGCTGATTTGTATCGACACGAATGTGTATTGGGTGGAATGAGAAATTATTATTATTCTCATTATTATTATTTTATGAATTATGCAGGTTACATCAATGTCAGAGATATAATAACTCAGAAGGACACTTACCTCCACTCTTTTTGCTGATCATATGATAACTCGATGAAATAGCTCCTGCACTTTGGCCACCAATAGTTACTTTATTAGGATCTCCACCAAAAATATGTATGTTCTCTTGAACCCATTTCATAGCAAAATGTTGGTCTTTGAGACCCAAATTACCAGGAATGACCCCATCACTAGTGGCAAGAAATCCTGAAAAAGGAGGGTTTCTACTGATATTTCAACTTTTCATGCTAGAAAGAATGAATCATAAAATGATGACTTTCAGGCAGTTCCAATGCCAAATTAACCACTGAATGAAATAATATACCAATTTTTTTTTCACGGGAATATGTCGTATCTAACAGATTGCCCAACTCGCGTTTCTCAACCCCCAGACGCCAAAAAAAGAATCTGGGACTCACAAAATACCCTTAGCAGATTGCGAAAAAACATATCTTGGCTAAATTCAGGAGGCTGTAAAATCTCTTGACTAGGGAAGATCAACCTTCTTCAGAGAACGACTACAGTACAAGTGGAAGATGAAATTGTTGAGATAACTACAAGACAAGAAGCTTTCAGACGTCTTCGGAAATTAAAGAATATAAAAATGTGGAATCGGATATATGAACAACAACGAAGGTTTTTGGTAGGCAACAGGTAAATATAACGTATCAAAACAGGTGATTATTGGGTATCATAAGAAGTAGTCAGTAAAATATTATTCTTGATCTGAAATACAATAACAAAATGACACAATAATCGACACTGAGAGTTGATTGAAAGACAACCTTTCAATGACACTCATTATTCATTCATTTATTCATACAGAAGGAAGAAAACATACAGAGGGCTTACTCAATTACATGTTTTCCATAGTTAGTCCATTATAATTCGTAGATCCACAGAAAAAAAAGAGTTCTCGTTACCGATCCTGACGTGCGATAACATAAAGTGAAACTATATATATCCAACGAACGAAGTATCCAAAACAAAAACAGATGCGTGATCGAAGTATTATCACCACACACATTTGCCTCTATTGCGTTACAGTGTCGGAATGGTCAGTTACATTTTAACGCCTGTTAGTCCGGTCAAATTAGACCAAAAATAAGAGTAAAGCTACCTAAATTCCCACCAAGCTGAAAATCAGTAAGATTGTTTGAAAGGCGATCACAAATGAAATTTGAAAGTTCTTCATTTTTTCCCTGTATGGAAAAAATTGTATTGAAGGTCAAAAGTCTAAAAATAAGTTTTTCGCGATTTTCAGAAAAACGGTGAGTTCCATCATAAAAATACTTCAGACGAAAATTGTAGATCATGAAATTATCTACCGAAAATGTTTCAATACATTTTTTCTTGCCAGCCACCGTTTTTGAGATATAACGATACAAAAAGTTGCACAACAATTCTCGGTTCATTTCAATGTTGAAAGAAAAATTTACTGCTGAAAATATATTGGAAAAACAAGCTGATAATGATGCTGATGTATTGATAATTGAAACAGCAATAGAGCAATTGAATTTGACAAATACAACTATTGTTGTTGATGATGATGTAGACTACTCGTATTACTCACCGCTTGAACTCCAACTGAAAAGTTATTTTCCTCTCAAAACCAGGAAAAGCTCAACATCAATTGGAAATATATTCATCAAAAGGTTTAGCAACTTTTGCAAAGTGTCAAAATAATGTACTATTTTCACACGTAGTACCTGGCTGTGATACGACATCTGCATATTACAGGAGGGGTAAAATAACAGTTTTTAAAATGTTTGAAAAACGAAATTCAGTTCAGTGTGCCAAAGTTCTTAAAAACTCAACTCGACAAGAAATTATCACCAACGGCATTCGCTCTCTTCTTTCTATGTACGGAACTCCTAAAAAACTACCTGCTTAGATAAGTATAAATATGCATGTTTCGTTGAAAATACCAAAAGTGAAAAACAAGTACAATTACCCTGTCTTCCTTCAACCTCAGTTGCTTCTCATCAACATCTTTTTCGGGAATATTACCAAATCTAAGTGTGACTTGACCCTACAGACTGGGGTTGGAAGTTGGTCAACAATTCATTAGAACCAGTCCAAACTTTACTTTCACCTGCGCCGGAAAAACTGCTCAACACAATTTTTTGCAACTGCAAAAAGGGGTGCAGTGCTGAATGTGGTTGCGAAAAAGCCGGACTGTTTTGGTCACTGGCATGTACACATTGCTAAGACCGGTCGTGCTCTAATATTGAATCACCAACTGTGGAGGATCCGCTTGATTCCAACGACAAGAAGAATGAGAACAAGACGAACAAGAACAAGAAGAATAATTTGAAAGTTACGACTCGGATCATTAAATTTCACTACTTTTTTTTTCATCTTTGATTGCTTTTATCTTTTCAATCTCTGCTAATATCCATTATTTTGCAATAGTTTCAAATTAAACACGATCACAACTGACTCGTGGACTAGGCCTACTGGGAAAACCACGTTAAAAAAAACGCGCTAAATACACTACCTCATAGGTGGCGTGGAAACGTGTGCATATTATGACGATTACAACTTTATATCTCAAAACGGTGGCTCGTTGCTAGAAAAAGTATAATTACATTTTTGGTAGATAACTTCATGACCTACAATTTTTGTCTGTCATATTTTGAACAATCTAACTGATTTTCAGATGAGAGGGAATTTAGGTAGCTTTGAATGTCTAAATTGACCGGACTATGTAGTGTGCACGTATACTGTATTTTTAAGTTCTAATTTTCAAAATGTCAAATAGTGATGCAACTGACAATTCGTATCCCTACACTCTACCTGAAAAGTTTTCCTATACCCAGCTGCATATTATTGAAAAACATTTTGGTCGTTTTTTAGTGCGGCTCTTTACAAACAACCTTATCTGGGAGATCACGTGCAGTATGCATGATAATGATTTGGGGCAATTCGTTGCTTAAATGGACAGAATATTGAAAATAACTCAAAAATACTTAACAGAAGGGGAATTAAAAAAATATCAAATGCCAACACAAGTTGAGAAATATTTTCATAATTACCTAAGTAAATTAGTGTATGCTTTATAATGATAAGAATTATATTTAACATGAAGATAAAAACTAATACTTCAACCTGGCAAGGGGCAAGACATGAGCACAGTTATATGTACACATCGTACGTTATAGAGGATATAATATGTCACCTGTCAATTTGAACGAAACATTATTCAATCCGCATAAAACACTCAAATGAAAACTTGACTACCAGGTTGGATTTTGAAAGTTTTTTTTCTATCGAGTTTATCAAAAAATAAAATCACTCACCGAATACTCCAAGTCGATAGTTCAATGTCACAACGACAATATTGTGATCCATTATATGTTTTGGTCCATAAATGTAGTATCCTCCATAACCAGTTATGAACGCTCCCCCATGTATGAAAATAAAAACTGGCAAGGAACTGATAAAAAGTAATTAACTTTATTGACTACCCGAATTTTGTTTACCTGTAAAAATGTGGGTAGGCTAATTTAAAAACTAGATCGATTTGATCATTAAGTAGGTTACATCCGCAATGCTTATGCTCATGAATTTCCAAGGATTCCTAATGTTTGGGTTTTTAACCCTTGCCTGCATAGTACAAACTTTTCGTATCGTTCAGATTCGGGAACTTATGGTTGCATTCCAAGGAGTGGTTTGGAAATGACAAATCATTTTTACCTAGTCTGAAAGATATTTCATTTTCACCAAACCGTTTTAAGGAATTACGGCCACATTGTCCCACATTACACTCCGGACACTTAAGCTTATAAACTTTCTCTTATGAAGATTTCTCCATCTTGTCCACTCCATTCTTAGCATTCGAAAAGAAATTAGATAAGCTGGCATGTGGTCTGAATACCACTTCCACGTTGTTTTTACTGAAAAAACACTAAATTGTCTCTGTACTTTTACCAAAATATGTAAGAGACATAAATTTCTCGATTTCTGACTATTTGATTTGACAGTATATTAATCAGAACGTAAATTTAAGGCTTTGGAGACATTTTTAAACTTATATATTGAACTAAGTTTCAATCAATCAATCAATCAAACATTTATTGAATCAGTGTACATTTACAGTCACATTAGGCAAACATCATCATAAAATACTGGCTGATACAACAGGTCAAACTATTATAGAAAAACAAATACAAAGCATAACTTAAATAAAAATAAAATCAGTAAGCTACAATCAAATTATGATTATGACTCAAGGAGAAACTCATCCACAGAGTTTGTTTCAACCTACGAAGTAAATATATATGTATACTGAGCTTCAGTTTGATACTATCAACATGGAAACTCCAGGTAAGTTTATTATTAATATCAACTCCCAAGGATTTAGTACAATTAATTTGATGTAAAGTTTCATTATTTAATCTTACCAAATAGCTTTTATCAATAGTTATATTTTTAGTAACAAAGTTGAGCATTTGAGATTTGGCAGAATTTAGCAGCAGACCATTTGTAGAACACCACTCCTCAATTTGATCAGTTACTTCATCAGCATTGACAATCACTTCGGACATAGTTTCCGCAGATACCAAGATATTAGTGTCATCCGCAAAAATTATAATAATGGAAGCTATCGAACAAAATTTCGGAAAATCGTTAATAAAAACCAAAAATAAAAGAGGTCCTAAAACAGAGCCTTGAGGTACCCCTCTTACTATACATTTACTTACAGAGTTAATTCCATTCACACAGACCAGTTGATTACGGCCAGTCAGGTAAGATCTAACCCAATTCAATGCAGGACCACGTATACCATAAAACTGCAATTTGTGTAGCAGTATGTCATGGTCAACGAGGTCAAAAGCTTTGCTCAAATCAAAAAATAACCCCAGAGTTTGCTGTTTGTTTTCCAAGATTTCCAACACATGTTTAATGAGTTGATCAATTGCGCCAACAGTGGATTTATTTCTTCTATAAGCATTCTGACTAGAAGAAAATAANAATTTCTAATGCGGAATATCGGGACATATGTCGTCCATTGTTCAAAAAATTGGGAATCATGACTCTTCCATCGATTTTCATTTTTCAGTCACTGCTGGAGGTACATAAAAATAAGGGTACTCTTTTAACTAACTCCCACTTTCATAACTATGAAACACGTGGTGCTAATCTTATACCACCTGCTAAATTCAATCACAGAAATCTTCCAAGAATTCCTAAGATGTTAATCTATACAATATTTCGCCAACTGTAGTCACGAACTTATCACAGACACGTTTTAAAAAGGGCATAAAAAATTTCTCATTGATGAAGGCATTTATAGTATAGATGAATATATTATGGCTGCTTCCATGGTAATGCCCGGATATATCTTTTAAGCTGAAGTGCGTGTAATGATATCTTTCACAATTTATTGTATTTTGTTATACAGTGCTGCTTATAATAATGTATTTGAAAAAAATTACGGTCCTCTTGTGGGTGCCTCCTCTTTTGGGTGCCTTGTGTTGATGTTTTTTCATTTTATTCAGGTATTATTCAATTTTGAATGTTTGACTTATCACCTGACTTGCTACAAATGTTTATTACATATACGTAGTCGAATAAACTATCTATCTATCTATCTATAAACTATCTATCTATTTATCTATCTATCTATCTATCACTGTGAGGTGAAGCATCAATACAAGTTTGCCCATATTTTTCCATTGGCTTTTCAAACTAACCAAACTCGGTGAGATTTTGATCCAATTTTAGCACGCCCTGTATGATATGAAATCGATTTCTTGATGTAATTTGAATATTTCGAGTTTGTTCAAACTATCATCAGAATATCAACTTTTCATGAATTGACAGTACTGATGTACTTACTTAATTTCAATTAAGGCTATGTTTTGGACCATTATCAACAAAAAAGTAATAAAATACCAGAGTGATTCCAAGAATGTATTAATATACGGGGTGTTCTATTCAAAAAAATTAAGTTGCTAGGACTTTTTGAGGGAAGTGGCAACGCCGCAATGCTGAAAATATTTTAGATCGATATAACAGGTAAGGAAATGTGAGAGGTGAAATTTTCAGGAGAATGATGCTTTGCGTTTTCCAGAAACGTCTAACCTACCATCGGCCGTGAGTCACGCTGTATTTTCACACTGAAGAAACTGTACTTGTGATGCACTGTTTGGAACTTTTGGTGAAATAATTAATATTGCTGTAGTTTTATCCCAACACCAAACGGTTATTTCGAAACCTTGACACGTGTTTCGATCACCAAGTGATCATCTTCAAAAGGAAGATTAAACTGTTCAAACTGTTGAATTTAATCTTCCCCTTGAAGATGATCACTTGATGATCGAAACATGTATCGAGGTGTTGAAATAACGGTTTTGTGTTGGGATAAAACTCCAGTAATATTCTGAAGAAACTGTTTAGATGTATTATTGCTGATTTATATCGACACGAATGTGTATTGGGTGGAATGAGAAATTATTATAATTCTCATTATTATTATTTCATGAATTATGCAGGTAACATCAATGTCAGAGATATAATAACTCAGAAGGACACTTACCTCCACTCTTTTTGCTGATCATATGGTAACTCGATGAAATAGCTCCTGCACTTTGGCCACCAATAGTTACTTTATTAGGATCTCCGCCAAAAATATGTATGTTCTCTTGAACCCATTTCATAGCAAAATGTTGGTCTTTAAGACCCAAATTACCAGGAATGACCCCATCACTAGTGGCAAGAAATCCTATAATATTTTATTTAAAGTATCCCATCTATATAATGTAGCACAAAGGATAAATAAATTCTATCTATCTATCTATCTCTCTTCCATTACAGTTTTCACTTCATCTGTCAACGAGGGTGAGTGTTTTTGTAATTCTGATAACTTTTAGAGGAAAGTGTTTATTGTAGAGGTTGAGAAGCATTCCAGTTAAAGTTTACACTTTATCATCAATATCATTATCGTAAAAAATTTGTGGATCCGACTCGAAAAAGTCATTTAGAAATTGCTGTTCATCAACATTTTCACAGTCTCTGATAGTGAGAAGTTTTGATTCAACTTTGGGTTTACCAAAATTGATTGTAAGTACAACCTATGCAGTTGAATCGATTGAAGTATCATTATTACATCAATTAGATATTGAGATGTGGGAGTTATATGTGTTGCCTCACTGACAAGTTATAGAGGAAATCATTGAATCGAAGTATTTCATTAGTGAGGAATTTTCATTCATATTATATTGAGATTATTCATATATGTCATAAATTAGTTCAGCTGTCGTGTAGTACCTCTGGAACAGGCGAAAACAACCTCTATATATCTGTACCAAAAACAAACATGTTTTCTACTCAAATCGAAATTTTCTATAGTTGTCTTCATGCTGTTCATAAATATGTCTGTTAAAAGTGGACTAACGGGTGAGCCATTGATAAACCTGAATCCTGTTTACGAAATTTGTTGATGAACTCTGTGAATAACTCTTATTTAAGCATACATTGAAAGCTGTCGTAATTTCAAAGGAAGGATAAGCTTAAATTCGTCGTATGGTATGTTAAAAACATGCTCTTCACATCGAATGGAACTAAAATTGAATCGATCGATTTCACGATTACATTTTTTGGTTCGGTTATTTGGCATGATTTCCACAATTGAGTGTGAGTGATTTCACTCCCATTCGATTTATATTTGTTGTTTGGAGTGACAGAAAAGAATATAATTCGTTTTTTATAAAGCCAAATTCTACCTTTGTTTTTCGAATGGAATTGGATATTGCAATTATATGTCCTACTGTGTTGAGGTTGAGAAAACAGAAGAAGAATTTTGGATATAATCTAATCCAATTTTCAATCGAATCATCTGATATCTACATAATTTGAAAATGCCCCGACACATTTCAACAAAATGCTTAGTTCTCAATGAGGAAACGAGAGTGTGAAATGAGGGCTTACCACTGGTGTATAAACATTCAAGTACAAGCAATCTTCCGTTTGGTTAATATTCAAAGAAGTATTATTGTCAGGAATAGCTCCAATACATGCTTTTGTGTTATCTGTTGCGTCTAATATACCTTCCCATGCTTCAGGTGATTTTGGTACCTGAAATAAATAAAATTGTCAAATATGTTTCGAGAAATATAAGATTTTAGCTATGAATGGAATAACAGTTCATTTTTTCGATGAAATTTTCATTTTGTCGTAGAGAAAGTTTCAATAATTCTGAATGAGACTTTTTTTGATGCGGTGTTCCATATTATTCATCAAATTTTTTTTTTGCATTTCTTATACGAAAATTGAATAATTATCAAAACTTTTATGAAATGTCTTTATCGACCTTCATTGGGTATTTTGATCTTGCAGATTCTAAATAAATAGAATTTCATACAGGTGTAAGGCAAACTTTTCAGTACACGACGTTCAATTACTGCGTGAATTCAAAGTATTTTTACACGCTTTATATTAACTTCACCTGTATGTATGTATGTATGTATGTTTGCTCGCTTGTAACTCCCAAGCTCGGGATCTGTATTGAGAGAATTATCGACATTATTATTGCTTGATCTATTCACGGGCAGATGGCGCTGTACGTAACTTCCTTGATATAATTCGAACTCACTTTACATGTATTTCTTCATTTGAAAAAAAATATTTTTTTATCTTCAAGATAATCACTTGCTAATCGAAACATTTATCGAGGTGTTAAAATAACGGTTTGGTGTTGGGAAAAAAACTCCAGTAATATTCATTACTACACCAAAGGTTCCAAACAGTGCATTACAAGTTAGTTCTTATATTTGATTCTACAGACATTCATCTTCAATAAAAAATCCGCGGCTGACTGAATTGTTGTTGTGCTCTGCAACCAAGTACTGCCAACGTTTGTACTTGGTCTCACCGTACTGGTGACGGCCAGTAAGTCAGAAACACTTATCTATTGTTCCATTTTTCTCGATGCTTTTTTGCTCTTTTAGAAATCAATACATGCTGTAACTGTGGCCAATAATGTATCGTTTTGACTGAGATGGCGCTAGTAGTATTAAATCCATATGACTTTTAATTAAACATAATCTTCAAAAGCTGAAGGACTATTATTTCATTGGATAAAACATTTTGAGTGAATCAACTTTTGTTAGTTCGCAGAAGGAATTTTTTGTTAATAAAGCATTGCTTTTTGGCGGAAAAAAATTGTTGAAGCCAAGGCTCGGCTTGATAAATATTATTTGGACTAGCGAGCTCCCAATCAATCAAGAAAACAACGAATTGATGAATCTGAGCAGTGTTTGGAACTATCCCACAATAAAAACTCGAATTTTTGCATCGATATGTGTGGAAGGATGAAACATGACTGCATCATTCCACTGTTATTCCTTTTCCCTGTTTTGTCTTTTTACAAAAGAGAAAACATGGCAAAGTAGCTCCGGCAGTTGTTCGTCGGCGGCATGTGGGAGTGGATTGATTACTGCGATTCTGTTAAATAAAATAAGGATACCATAAAGGCGTTACTGTCTTTTTTTATAAGGTCTTATTTGAAAAAGATCAGACACCTGAGGTAGAGAGTAGATACAACAGCTGAAATAAAAGAAAGACATACCCAATATCATATCATATCATATCATTTCAAAATTATATGACCGTCTTATTCGTTGTATTGCCCTCAAAGGCAACTGTAATGAATGATGGAATCGAATTTTGTAAAAAAACATTTATTTTTTTATGTTAGCCTATGAACTTTTCAGCTTAACTACCTGGAGTATAAAAATGCATTGTCTACAAGACAAACATAATCTGCTACAAAATAGACATACTCTTTCCTTTTCAACATCAACTGCAGAATGGACATAAGATCGCTTTCGAGTCAACCAAATAGCACAAATACGAAACTTGGCAGATGAGAGAAGTCATCAAAATCGAAAAATCAGAGTTGATCAACGAAAACCATGACTTCAATAATCAATAATAAATTTTTAGAATCCATGCTAACTTACCTGGAACCTGTTTTTGCCTATCGGTGGTGCCGCGTATGGGATATCTTGAAACGAATAATAAATACTTCCATTAGCACTCGTTCGCGATCTTCCTTTAATCGCACCTTTTGCTAATCGTACAATTACATTTTCATCTTCAGTTTCCTGAAACAGATTCATTTTCATTCATTTCGTTGGGTTATGAACTAATTTCAGTAGGAATCGTTGAAAAATATATGCTTCTTTTTGTTGATGTGATTTCATTGAAACAAATATCTTTCTGTATTTGACTTCTTGAGGAACTTTCACAGACACTGTGATTTCCATACCGATTATCATTTCCATTTCACTTTCAGTTTGAAAGGTACCAACTTTGAGTTGAGAACTAGATGACATAATTTGTTTTTTTTTTTTAATTCATCATCTACTTCAAGCCGTCAACGTTTCTTTTTCCTATAACTATGGAAAATGAGCCCCTCTTCATTTGCGATCACTTCAACAAGAGGAAATGTTCGAATCAGAAATTGAAATAGGTTGAAGATATAATCTGTTTTTCAGGCAGATAATGATTTTTTCACAAAAAACTGCCTTATTCAAAATAAATATACTGCCGCTGAGTTCCACCAAACAGACTCGCTTGCGACTAGTTTCGTTTTCAAGAAAAGAAACAAAAAACTCGAGACTCCAATTCCGACAGACAGAACTATTGTGAGTCGCGTGTTTTGTTGTGAAATATTTTCTATCGTTCCCACTACACTAGTCTTTCTCAAAGTGGGCAATAACGCCCCCTTGTGGGTGCTGGAGGCCTACACGGGAGCAGTACAGGGTACAGAGAAGTTTGGGGGACGTTGAAGTGGTTCAGGGGGGCGATGGCCAACTTAAAAATTTTTTTATGCGCAACTTTACTGCTCCTTTACACTTAACGCGCGTTTCCTCGTGTAACGCCATCTAGGGGACTAGACAGAAACTATTCACTATCCGATAGTTGTCAAACTGTACAATAGATGGCGATAAGCTTCAATGCGAAGCGAGAAGNATCCTTTTTCAAATATCAACACAGCAGGGTCACCCCAGCTGGAAGAAGAACTCATAGAACTGATAACGACCTAGGAAATGAAAATAAAATTCGAAAATGGATACCAAGAATTTTTGCTACAAAAGCCCATCCCGCAATTGTACCCTGGTCCATCGCCCAATGATTTTTGATAGCTTTCCCATCATCGTATTTGTGTGAACGTGGATTTAGTGTTGTGGCAACGTTGCTAACTGAAAAGAGGAATCGGTTGCAGATTACTGAACGCGTGACTTACAGCTGTTTTTTTTGTAGTAAAGGAAAAAAATTTGGGGGGGCGCTACCGCCCTCAAAGTGGGCGGTAGACAAAATAAGTTTGAGAACCTCTGCCCTACAGGAATAGTTTTCGTCATACCTTCTCTAGACTTTGTTTTCAAAATGGGCTGCGAATTTTTTGTAATCGAAAATTTTGGGAAAAGGAACGAATGCGATAAAAACTGAGATACTAGATGAGATCACTGTTTAGAAGAAGAATGGATTATGGACCGGATGAAATTAAGATAAATGATGACATAGGAATAAATGGAACTGGGATCATAGTTTCGTAATTTTCTGAGAATATCCAATCATATTATACATATTACAGATTTATCATATTTGAATAGTTGCTTGTTGTTGTCGCCGACAGTTTTCACTTCGCGATCTCTGTTTACAAAAACACAGACAAAACATCGAAACTTTTGATCTTTCCGCCTGCCGACGAGATGTTTCGTTATTGATAAAAACAGTCGCCCGCGACAAATGTTCTTCATTTTGACAACCCAGGTTTTTGTTTTGTCGAAATGGAAAAAGTTGCTGTTTTATTGTGATTTTGTCCGTTTGGTGAAAATTCGCCACAACAACTTTAGGACTGCGCTGTGTGCTCGTGGATAAGCAAATTTATCGAAAGTAAATTGAAACAAACGAAGACATGATATTCACTTCTATTGATGATGAAACTATGATAAATGTGAAAATGATCAACGACTAATACTCACCGTTCTGGTAGAAACTATGAAAAATAAACTAGCAATTATAACAATAGGAAGTATGTGTTTTGCGTTCATATTTATTGGCGTAATACTCGCCTAGTTTGAAACGTTTCAGTTTTTATAGTATTATCGAAGATCCCATTATACGTAATCAGATAAATTAGATATCGAATTTCTATTTTTTTTATTCTGTTCATACATACAATGATGTTTGTGCCCGACAATAATTGCCTTGATAAAAAACAAATTATAAAATATTATGGAGCAGTGAAAAAACAACATTTCACTGCAAATTATAGGTCATCAAAAAAATAACATCCATACACCATCTACATAAAGGAAGTGAAGGTTATAGGTTTCATATTTCATTTAATGTTCGATTAACAATATGGTCATTGTTGACTGCACATTCACAGAGTTGTTGGCTATTATATGAGCTAAGTCCTTGTTCAGAAAAAATTCATTACAGAGTGACCCATATGATGAACAATAATAACAAATGTGAATTGAAACATATTAATGAAAGTAGAAATATACGTATGAATCAGGTGAAGGTAAATATTACTGGAGTTTTTTTCCAACACCAAACAGTTATTTGAACACCTCGACACATGTTTCGAGCACTAAGTGATCATCTTCAAGAAGAAGATTAATCATTTTAATCTTCCTCTTCGATTCGAAACGTTTTTCCTATTGATAAGGTAGATAATCAATATTATAGAGCTTCAACGTATTTTGGACAACCAACGGAAAAAGTGGCTTCATTTTTGAGGAAACGAGATATTATAATTGCATATAGAACAAATGATACGTTGGGAAAGTTAGTTAAAAATAATGAACACGAAACATTCAAATTCGAGAAATCAAAAGTATATAAATCAAAGTGTGGAACGTGTCCTAAAGTATATATTGGTCAAACTGGCAGAACATTCATACGATTTATGTAAGTGAGGAAACAAATTCAACATTTTCAAATCATCTTCTAGAAGAAAATCAGATCTTCAACGAAGAGATCGAAATGTTGCACATAAAAATAAAGGTTTGAAACTGAATCATTTGGAAGCAATGGAAATTAATAAACTCAAAAATTCAAACATGCTAATGAATGACCAACTGGAAAGAATTATCATTATTGTAGATGTGAGGTAATATGCCTCAGGTGATCATAATTGAACAGGTACCTTAGGTAGAAGTTTAGGTAATTTTTTGGAGGTAGTCTCAATTATGGTCACCTGTAGTATATAAATATAAGTGTAAAAAACAACTTGAAGTATTCAAATCACTTGACAAAGCTACTGTACATATTATGATATATTTTTCAAATGNAGGTACCTTAGGTAGAAGTTTAGGTAATTTTTTGGAGGTAGTCTCAATTATGGTCACCTGTAGTATATAAATATAAGTGTAAAAAACAACTTGAAGTATTCAAATCACTTGACAAAGCTACTGTACATATTATGATATATTTTTCAAATGGAGTTTGTGGAGATCAAATAGTGAAATGTAGTTTTTGGAAAAACAAAACATTTTCACGAAAGCTGAATGATTATGGTATCCGTGGCAATACATACGACCTTATGTCCAATTACTTATCAGATCGTGAACAGAGTGTTGAAATTGATGGTGTTCTGAGTGTTCTCAGAACTGTGACCTATGGTGTTCCTCAAGACACTGTGCTAGGGCCAGTTTTTTCCACTATCTATATTAATAGTCTGTTTTCTTTGAAAACCACTGGTCAAACCATCAGTTTCGCCGATGATACTGCCATTTTGTACCACTTCTTCAACTTGGCAAAATATGAAAAACACCGTTGAAGATGATTTTTCTAATATTTCAGAATGGTTCCGTTTCAATAAATTAACTGTTGATTACCAAAAAACTTGGTAGCTACTATTTACATCTTATATTAGCGGATTATCGAACTTAGGCCCCGTTAAAGTAGGCTTGAATAAACAAATCCCTTTAGCAATCACATCGGTGAAATACCTTGGTGTCACGATAGATCGACATATGAGTTGGATTTACATATGAAACAACTTGTCAAAAATTAGGAGGGTTTCTGTCGAAATTAGGATCTCTCAAAGAATTTATGGACATCAGACAATTGGAAATGATTTATTTTTCGCTACTACAATCACAACTTACATACGGAATTTTAGAATGGGGGTTGTTTCAGAATATTACAAGTTCATGAACATGCTTATAATACACAAAAGAAGGATTCTGTATTTTTACCCCGATGTGACAAAACGATTGGACAACGGAGTGTCAATTACCTGGCATCAACAATATACAGTGTTACCCATTTTTAATGGAAACACACCCCTAAAATTTGAAGTTGAGAACCGATTTTAATTTTTTTTTTACATGTCAAGTACTGAGGGTTCTACCTTGAGACACAATTTGATATGTTTATTAAAGTTTCAGGGCATAATACGATATTTTTTCTTAGTCGAAAATTGGGATTTTTCATTAGCGATTTTTTTATTGAAAAAAGAGAGTATTTTTTTATGATTTCAACAATGGAGTTCCGCCAGATGAAAAAAAAAACAAATAGCGAAAATATTTTTAATGAAAATAACGGAATTACATTNAATGAAAAATCCCGATTTTCGACTAAGAAAAAATATCGTAGTATGCCCTGGAACTTTAATAAACATTTCAAATTTTGTCCCAAGGTAGACCTTTTAGTACTTGACATTTAAAAAAAAATATTAAAATCGATGCCTCATGAGATTCGGAATATTGCAAAATTCAGAAAATTCAAAAAGTATTCAACTGAGTGGATTCTCAAGACGGAACGTAATAGTTTTAGTAATATAATGAATTTTAAGTGAGTATTTGGAAGAAAAAAAAAGGAAAAGGTACCTTCTGATTATGTCATTACCGGAGTATGAAATTATCAATATGAATATCAATATTGATATCAAAAAACCCAAATATGACTTTACCTGGATGTGTCATTATATCACGTACAAGCACTTTGAACTGCTTCTGAGATAGTTCTTTTTATTTGTTCTTTTACGAGTGTTACATTGTTTTATTAAATTTTATTTTATTATGCAGATGAACATCATTATTATTATCATGAGTAGATTCAACTCATTTGTGACAAAGTAGTTTTTTTATGAATAAATTTAGTGCTTCATCTTATGATGTTACCCAGATTGATGCTGAGGAGGCACATGTCTTATTCTGAAACATCGGATGCCCGTCATTGAAAATGATAGTGTAAGTGAAATTTCACCTTTGTCTCACAATATTGTGTAGCAATCCAGTTGATGATTTCTGATTCAATTCCATTCGGATTATTTGGAATACAAACTGAATGGAAAAATGTTTTTTGTTAATTCAGTATCCATATGAAAGTAATTGTTTTGTGTGATTCAATGTTTATTTCAGAGTAGTTTTTTTGATAAGGTTTTTCTTTCAGTTTGGTACCTAGAAGTTACTTCTCGGCATGATCCACACATCTTTGTACTGAGTTGATTTTTTCAACTGATTGCTTTCTTCCTTTCTTCGAAAGATTCCCAAATTTTTTGTATAAAGATGGAGGAATGGAAAGCCAAAACCTTTCTTTTCCAAAAACCAATCTTTTCTTGAAATATACGCTTTTCAATTCAGATAATTTTCATATTTCGAAGAACACAAATGAGTGTCAGATTTAAACATTCATTCATATTTGACTGACAATAACTCCATATCATCCATATCCGTATATTCTTGTTCTATTCAGTTTCCTGTGACTGTATGCATTTTTCAAGACCACCTCCAATGCCCTTCACAATCATACATGACTTTATTTTTTATCTTTTCATTTGATGATTATCAGTATATCAATGTTCAATTACACATGAATCATTCGAAAACCTTCATTTCATAATTATCTAATGAAGTACACAAGATAGATATAGTTATTGAGCAAACATTATCAGGATTCATTTAGATTTCATCGCATGATTTTCAAAAACAACTCAATTATATTTTCGATAGCTTCGAATTCAAACACTTGACTTATCAGAAAGTAAGAGGTCTGTTTAAAAAGTGAAGTGAATGTTCAAATTTCTCAAGCTACTCACATACGATTAGCGATTTTTCAATTTTTTATGTAGGGACACTCCTCTCTTACATATGTTCACAGTTTTAGCTGTTTAGCATTTTCAGTTTATTGGTGACAGGCATAAAAGTTAGGAGTGTTCTGCGTATTTGGAGATTTTCTGTTATAGAAAAAATTGATCAAATAATTTGCATTAAAATTTGTGTGGAAAATGGAATTGAGTACCAAAAACATTTGAAATGTTGACAGTGGCATATGGTGATTGTGATATGAGTCAGAAAAGTGTTTTCAAGTGGCATATTATATAAAATGAGAATTCTTACCTCCATTCATAACACCGAACAAATGCGTATACTCCACACTAATAGAAATGCATACCTATAGCCTACGGTACTATAGCATGGGGTGCAGATTTGAGAACTCATATCTCAGCACTCGAAACTACCCAAAAATATATACTGGAAACCATTTACTGAAAACTCAAAAGATACCCAATAGAACTTTTCAAAGTTTCCAAAATGTTAGATATACGTCAATTTTATTTTCTAAAGGTTACTATTTATCAAAACTCTAGAAAATATGAGTTCCTACCGATAGAACACCACTGCAACACCAGGTATAGAAACGTAAATAATTTTTTCCTCACCATACCTGAAAAGAATATCATACAGAGAGCGTACCTGTATCTTTGACCGAAATGTTTCAACTCCCTTCCACAAAAACTAAAACAAATATCGCCAAAGATCATATTTAAAAGGGAACTGGAAAACTATATGAAAAACACCCCAAGAAATGAAATCCATAGAATTGTAGAAAATAATTTATAGAAACCCCTTATTGCTCATCTGTCCATATTATATTTATTTATACATTCATACGTTTAACCGTTGACTATTTTTTATATTTTTACGTAACATGGTTGAGCTTATTTGAATTTTTAAATTATAAGTAATTGATTTTATGTCATATATATATGACAAAGGATCTTTCATATAAAGAAATTTCATTGGATCATC